TATATATGTACATACATATATATATAGATAGATAGAATTCAAACTATTCTTATCTATCTATCACAAACTATTCTTATTCATCTTCCTATCTGTTTATCTATTTCAAACTATTCCAATCTATCCATCTATTTAAAAATATATTTGTCTATGTATCTATCTTCTATTTATCTATCTCAAAACTATTCCTATCTATCTTTTATATGCCATGTTGCACCAGGAAGTAGGTGATCATGATCTTCCATCTCTTCCTCTTCCTTTGGTAATGAAACGTTTGGTAATCCGTATGGATCCTTCCAAGGAGGATGTAATCCAGAGAGCTCAATGTCAAAGCAGAGCAATTATTATTTCAATTTAATTCTTAGAAATGTGATCTCATGAGCCAAGTAAAAACCACATGGACCCTTAAGATTGTCTGTTATCTAATTAAATTGAATTAATTAATATATATATATATATATATATATATATATATATATATATATATATATATATATATATGCGTATATTTTGGAAGTACGTGTTGCGTTGAATAGTTTAGACATGTTCTGAAAGATTTTGAAACACACTGTAGAAAAAGAATCATAAAGACCTATTATTGGAGACCTGATTAAATAAACTCCTTAAAATAAAATAAAAAAGTAAAATATATATATCATTTAAAAAGGTAATCCTTATCACAACGTAGAACTTTTTTACATGCAATGTCCAGTCATCGGGTAGGCGTTTATGACTCTCCACAACTTCCTTCTGTAATATCTGTGAATTACTATGATGTTTTCGGTTCCAAAAAATACATTGTTTTCCATTCATTTTCTCTATCGTTCAGTGTTCTCCTTCAACTAGACTGGCTGCCACCCAAGGCAACAAAGTCAGGTCTGTTGTGGCATTTAATGGAAACCTGAAAGACAATAATTCGGAATTACACTAAAAGACTCGCTAACTATTTGAATTTGGCTTACGGATTCCGCTATCGGAATCGATAATCGTTACTCTACTATCAATTCTCGCCAGAACCATTATCTCGCTCAAATAGATGAAATAATCGATAAGCAGTTGAAAGAGTCTAGAAGTCTTTTTTACAACGGGTAACTGTATTATCTTTTTTAATTTTCTGATTTGCCTCCAAGTGTATTGTTTTATGAAGTCTGTGATTGATACTTAACTTATCTTCAAACGTGATTTATTCGCCGCCTTTCGTTTGAAATTCTGACATTTCCCTTGTATTTTCTTTTTCTTTTTATTCAGTATTTGTTTTTTCCGTTGACTTTTCAACAGATTTTTTTTTATTTCTGCTTCCTTTTCCTTTATGACAATTTGGCACTTTCTTTCTTCTGCTCTTCCTTCTTGGATTCTTCCTTCCTTCCTGATTTCATTCCTTCATTCATTCATTCTTTACTCTTTCTGATATATCAATCTATCATTCTATCTCATGTTTTTTCTTTACTTTTTTCTTTCTTTCTTAGATTATTTCTTTTTTTTGTATTCATCTAACTCTCCTCTCACTCACTCTCTCTCGATAATATATATATATATATATATATATATATATATATATATATATATATATATATATATATAAAGAAAAAACAAACCACTTTAAGGTTCCATTATAATAATTTATTTCACCAGAGCCCTTTAAAGAACTCTAGATCATCAGATAGCACTTCCAAAAGCTGAAACGAAACAAAATGAAATGAAAATTCATACTTTTTATGGGTATTGTAAGTTTTGTAATTTAACAGAGGGGTTAATGAGGTGGTTGGTTGAGAGACATGGTCGAGTTTAGAGAGGGTTTATTTGGGACTACCCATACGGATTACCAGGTTTTCATGACTTACCTCTCTCTCTCTCTCTCTCTCTCTCTCTCTATATATATATATATATATATATATATATATATATATATATATATAGAGAGAGAGAGAGAGAGAGAGAGAGATAGATAGATATTATTAATAGAAATCTTAAGTATAAGAAACTATACTCGCTCAGAAAACCTTCGCTGTACTGATTTGCAAATAAAAAAGCCAATACCAAAGGAAAAAAAAAAAAGGTATAAAAAGGTATAAAGCCGGCCTTCACTGACGATCCACTTAGGTGAAACCTTGGTAGGTTTGTCTGGCTCTCTAGGTTTAACTATATATATATATATATATATATATATATATATATATATATATATGAATAAATTTAGTCTTACGATGTGCTGTATTTATGGGGTAAAGTGCACAATATCAGAGATAGATCGTGTGTAAATGTAAAGTGAACATAAGTCAACACTTAGAGGCGACAGTTTGTTTCATGCTACATGCAATCGTCAAGTCTCGCATGAAACAGACTGACACCTCTAAATGTTGACTTCTATGTTCACTTATATATATATATATATATATATATATATATATATATATATGTATATGTATATATAAATGTCTGTTCATGTCTATCTCAGATTGTTTCTTCCTTCTTATATCCTGCTCTATCAATCTTTTTATGTCAGTTTTGTTCTTCCGTTTTTCTCTTTTCTTAAAATATTGCTTCCTTCCTTCCTCACCTCCCTCCTTCCTTACTTCCTATCTATCTATCTATCTATCTATCTATCTATCTATCTATCTATCTATCTATCTATTTCAGACGGTTTCTTCCTTTATATCTATCTGCCTCGTGTTCTTTCTTTAGAACCTTTTCTAAATTATTCACGTTCATTTTTGTTTTCTCTTTGTTCACTTCTTTTACTCCATCTCCACCTTAACGTATTGTCTCTCAGTCATTCACCAACTGAACAAATCACCCCATATTTCTTTTTTCCACTTTCGCCCTCCTTTATGTTCACGAAATCTACGAAAGTCTCGCGATACATTCACGAGAGAAGAATTGGTGAAATGAAACAACACCGAGAAGTGAAGACGCGTTTCCTGTTTTATTTTTATTTATTTATTTTTTTTTCATTTATTTATTTAGTATTGCATTCCGGGAGGTGACAGTTGGAACAATTGTCTCTACTTCTGCCACGACAAACTAATGGATTAGCCCTTACCAGTAATTCCACCTACCATCCCTCTGCCCATATATACATCACAACACGTTGCTCGCAGCTCGCTCACGGGCGCCTTGAAGCTACTTACCTAGAACTATTTTGCTTCTTTTTAACTGTGACTCTATAAGTCGGCTAACGGAACGTACTAACATCTGACCAAGTGACACTTGATCCCGATAGATTTTAGTTATTTTATTTTCCCTTTGGTCAGCACGTGTCTGCTTGGAATAGCATACTTCTAATCATTACTGCTGGTCATAAACACAGCAGACACTTCAAGCCCAGATGAAGTCATTTACCGTCCACTTTTATGTCGATGAGCGGATCACAGCCGGGTTCCCTTGTGTCACATGATCATTATTTCGTGTTCGTCATTTTTTAATCTCTTTTTGATTTTATTTTCTTTATTTTCCCCTTTATCTTCTCTTTATCGTTTCTTTTCTTTTCTTTTTCTTCATCTGCCACCACATTTTTACCTTATTGTCTTTTTTCCTTCTTCCTACTCATATCTTTCTTTCTTTTTATCACTTGCCTGTATTTTCATCTCTTATTTTTAGATTAGCTTCCTCTCGTCTTCTCGCTTCTCTGTTTTCTTAATTAATCTTGTCTCCCTTTTTCTTCTTTTTGTCTCTTCTTTTTCTTCTTGTCTCTTCTTTTTCTTCTCTTACAATTTTGTCTTCGACCCGTATTCTTTTATCCTGATTCCGAATTTTTCTAAAAATTGCTTTTAGTCTTCATTTTTTTTCTTTCTTTCTTTCTTTCTTTTTTTCTTTCTTTCTTTCTTTCTTTCTTTCTTTCTTTCTTTCTTTCTTTTTATGCCTAGGTGTTTTCTTTTCTTTTCTTCCATCCTGTATACATTGATTCCGTAGGTTCGTCTTTCTTTTTTCTTTCTTTCTTTCTTTTTATGCCTAGGTGTTTTCTTTTCTTTTCTTCCATCCTGTATACATTGATTCCGTAGGTTCGTCTTTCTTTCTTTCTTTCTTTCTTTCTTTCTTTCTTTCTTTCTTTCTTTCTTTCTTTCTTTTTATGCCTAGGTGTTTTCTTTTCTTTTCTTCCATCCTGTATACATTGATTCCGTAGGTTCCTCTTTCTTTCTTTCTTTCTTTCTTTCTTTCTTTCTTTCTTTCTTTCTTTTTATGCCTAGGTGTTTTCTTTTCTTTTCTTCTATCCTGTATACATTGATTCCGTAGGTTCGTTTTCTTTTCTTTCTTTCTTTTCTTTCTTTCTTTCTTTCTTTCTTTCTTTCTTTCTTTCTTTTTTATGCCTAGGTGTTTTCTTTTCTTTTCTTCTATCCTGTATACATTGATTCCGTAGGTTCCTTTTCTTTCTTTCTTTCTTTCTTTCTTTCTTTCTTTCTTTTTTCATGCCTAGGTGTTTTCTTTTCTTTCTTCTATCCTGTATACATTGATTCCGTAGGTTCGTTTTTCTTTCTTTCTTTCTTTCTTTCTTTCTTCTCATCTGGAGTTTAATTCGGCCTGCTTTTTTTTTTTTTCTTCTTTCTTCCTTTTCTTCGTCTTTCTCATCCAAATTTTGTTCATTTTTGTACTTCACTTTCTCATTCCGGATTCTTCTTTTCCTTCTTCTTCTTCTTCTTCCTCCTTTTCTACTTCATCTTCTTCTTCTCCCTCTTCTAATTCTTCCTCGTCTTCATCTTCTTCCTTTTCTTCTTCTTCTGCTTCTTATTCTTCTTCTTCTTCTTCATCATCATCATCATCATCTTTTTCCTCTTATTCATCTTCCTCTTTTTTTATACTTCATCCTCCTCTTCTTCCTCTTCTACTTCCCTGGTGTACTTCTTTTTCTTCTTTTCCTTTTCTTCGTCCTTCTCATCTAAACTTTATTCATTTTTCTTTTCGATTTCTCATTATAACTTGATCTTCTTTTTGAGTTTTATCCATATTTTTCTATTTCTTCTTTCTTTAGTCTTACTTCACATCCAAATTTTGTCACCTTTTTCTTCATTTGATCTTTCTCTTCTTCTTTTTCACCTTCTTTCTCTTCTTCCTCCTCTACCTCTTCATTCTTTTCCTCTTCTTCTTCTTCTTCTTCTTCTTCTTCTCTCGTGTTTTATGTTATATGCTCTTCTTTTTCTTCTTTTCCTTCTTTTACTTCACTCTTCTCATCCAAACTTTGTTTATTTTTGTTTTCGATTTCTCATTATAGCCCTTCCTGCTTCTGGTGTTTTATGCATATTTTTCTATTTCTTCTTTTTCTCTTCCTTCTCATTCCAATTTTTATCTTCTTCTTCTTCTTCTTCTTCTTCTTCTTCTTCTTCTTCTTCTTCTTCTTCTTCTTCTCCTCCTCCTCCTTCTTCTTCTCCTTTTTCTTCTTCTTCTTCTTCTTCTTCTTCTTCTTCTTCTTCACTCGCCTTTTATCTTGTGTGCTCTTCTTTTACTTCCTTTCCTACACCTTCCTCATCCAAACTTTGTTCAGTTTTGTTTTCACTTTCTCATTACAGTTTTTTCCTTCTTCTTCTTCTTCTTCTGGAGTTTTATCTATATACTTCTACTTTTTCTTCCTTTTCATCTTCCAAACTTTTTTTGGCATATTCTTTTTCTCGTCATCTTTTGTCCCTTAGATTCTATTAGAAACTCCTGTCATAGTGTACTTTTCTCCTTCTCTTCCCTTATTCGTTATTTGTTGTTTGTTTGTTTCGAAATATTATACTTTCTTTTTTTCTTCTTTCTTCCCGTTTTTTTTTTCGTTTTTTTTTTATTCACGTTCATATCATCTACCTTCAATGAGCTCACCTTTCTTTCATTCTTATCTGTCTTCACTTCCTCTATTTCCGCTTGTCACTTTCGACTTCTCCTAAATCTTTCAAGGTCGTTTCCTTTATCGGCAAACAAAATAAATCCTGGCCCTCCCTTTGCAAGATGCAGTTCAGTACTCAGGTTCTTTCTCAAATTCATTTCCTTTCTTAGGTGTTTTCCCGATATCCGTTTTAACGACTTTTCATTTTCTTCTTTTCCAGCCCTTTTTTTCATTCTCGTAAACTTTATTTTCCATTTTCATGTTTGCTTTTTTTTTAATTCTTGTTCTTCAAATTGTCTTCTTCACACTATTTTTGCTAGATTTCTCATCGCTGGCTTCATTTGACATCCACCGTGATGCCTTTTCTTTTATATTCAACATCATCCCAGTCAAAAGTAAACCTGCTTCGCGTATTCAGAACTAAAATAAACAAGGAAATACTTGATTATATTGGCAGATACGGTGTTTCTATTGAACAGTCGGCCATTCCTGCCCTGGTGGGGCCAGCAAGCTTTGCTCTTTTGCCATCTAAACGATCGGTCCGAGCTGAACACGGACAAATTCGAACCAAATTCCAATATGGAAGTTTAACATGGCATAGCTTTCAGCTGACAAATATTTATCGAATGTTAAGACCTTTTCAGGCCATTTCTTTCAACACCGACTGCAGTTTGTATGACCTAACGAAAACTTCTCCCATCATTTCCAAAAACCCAATCATCTTTTGCCAAGGTAACTTTCTTTTATAATTTTTTCCCACTGTATCGGGACATTTGCTTTTTAACTAAACTTTTTTATTCCCTCTTTTTCTAGCGGTTTCAACCTTTCACTTCTTTCTTTCTCTCCATCTCTCTCTTTCTGATATATATATATATATATATATATATATATATATATATATATATATATATATATATATATATAAAATATATATATATATAAAGAAATATATATATATATATATATATATATATATATATATATATATATATATATATATATGAATATATATATATATATATATATATATATATATATATATATATTCTTTCTCTATATATATATATATACTTTATTTTCGCTCTCTATATAGCACTTCTTTTCCTTCTTTTCTCTCTCTCCCTCTGTCTTTCTCAGTATATATATATATATATATATATATATATATATATATATATATATATATATATATATATATATATAAAGGAAGAACAGTAAGATATATAATCCGGTGTTCTTATAGATATTTTTATTTTTACAAAATAGTGCTCGATGTAAATTTACAGAGCATTAATATTATAAATTAATTGATTTAATTCAAACATGGTTAGAACTGTGTTGCGAAAAAAACATATTTTAAATCAATTAATTTCCCAGAGAGGGGGAGAGAAAAGAAGGAAAGAAGTGCTATATACAAAACGAAAAGAAGTGCTATATATAGAGAAAAAGAAAGAAAGAAGTGCTATATATATATATATATATATATATATATATATATTCATATGTATATATATTTATATACCACTTCTTTCTATATATATATATATATATATATATAGCACTTCGTTTTTTTCTTTCTATCTACACATAGCACTTTCTTTCTATATATAGCACTTTACAATTATATATATATATATTCATATATATATATATATATATTATATATATATATATATATTCATATATCAATATATATATATATATATATATATATATATATATATATATATATATATATGATGCATGTTTCACTAAATAATATAGACTAGTTTTGTCTATTTATTTTAAGTTCCTTTCATATTGTCTGATAATCTTAATCACATTATCATTGAAAAACGAAAGGAAATCACCATATTGATACATCTTTAAATTTAATCTAAGCTTTCGGCTTACATAAGCCATTATCAAAGATGACAATTACTTTTCAATATATAAACCAATACACGGACGAAAAAATTTCAAAGCAACGACTAACTCGGGTATACGAGACGCGAAAGCGAAAATTGCGTCGGACCTCGTGCGTCACACATCACCACGCGAGAGTGAAAACGAGAAGTATTAAGTATTGTTTAGTCCGTGTATCACTGGTTACTCCGGGATCGGGCTTGTCGGGGTTAGCCAGAGTGAGTCAACATTCAAGTACATTCAAGTATATATATTTCAAACCAACAAAAAAAATCTTTCCAAATGCGTCGTTTTCATTCTTGACTTCAGCTACATACAAAATATTGACCAATAGACATTTCGTTGATATTGTTCCTAATAAAGAAGAAGAAGAAAAGAAGAAGCAAACAAGAAACAAAGAAAGAAATTAAGTGTAGAAGAATTAAACAAAATTAACGTCGCTAGTCTGACTGCGGAAATCTGAGCCCTATCAGACTGGAGACATACTTAATAAGCAATGTATCTCCTGTTTTGTTCCGTACAGTATGAGGTTTTTAGCTGAATGCATCAATTAAAAAGGGACAGGCCAATTTAAAATCCACGAAAATCAAAGGAGTGGAGAAAACAAAAATCAACGAGAATAATTTAGAAAAGGTTCTTAAGAAAGAACACGAGACAGATAGATATAAAGGAAGGAACCGTCTGAAATAGATAGATTGATAGGAAGGAAGGAAGGAAGGAAGGAAGGTGGGTTAGGGAGGAAGGAAGGAAGCAATAGTTTAAGAAAAAGCAATAAAAAGGAAAGACGGAAGAAAGAAACTGACATAAAAAGATTGATAGGGCAGAATATAAGGAAGAAACAATCTGAGATAGACATGAATAGACGTATATATATATATATATATATATATATATATATATATATATATATATAAAAGTGAACATAGAATTCAATAATTCTAAGTGTTGACTTATATATTCACTTTTATATTTCCACATGCTCTATCTCTGATATTGAGCACTTTAACCCATAAATACAACACATCTTGAGACTATATTTCTTCATATATATATATATATATATATATATAAAGAGTGGCAGCTTTAATTCGTCGATTGGAGCGTTGGGGTGAGGAGTGTGACTGGGAGAGTGTTGAAGAAATATGATATCAGTCAACTATTCCTATCTCTACCATCAGTGACAGGAAAAATGGAAAGGGGGCAATAAACTGACAAACATAAAATACATTGTTCGCACACTTTTTTCTTAAAAGTCTGGAATTTCTTTTAAAAGTTTATTTTCATGGAATTATTAAAATTAATATTGAAATACCAAAATTTGTATTTTTTTAACTTCATCCACAGAGATTCTTAAAAAATTATTTATTTTACTTAGAGTAAAGGAATCGTTTTAGCATCTACATTATATTAATATTTTGTTAAAGAGCCTGATAAACTTTCATGTCCTACAGTCGCCACTGACACACACACACACACACACACACACACACACACATATATATATATATATATATATATATATATATATATATATTATAATTATTTTTCAAAGTTATGATTCAATCGCAACACAGAAATTACTACGTTTCGAAACTATATATATAATGAAATGCACTAGGTCCGATAATTCTAAACTTTTAAACATATTTTAAAATTCTAAAATATTTTTTTTTTAATTTAAAAAAAAATAACGTATAAATAATAAATACATTTAAATAATTGTCCGACTTTGTCTATTTCATAATATCTGACGTCATTTGTTTATGCTAAGATACGCTTCGAGCAGATATGAACGTTCGATAGAAATCATCGGGAATTTCTAGTTTAAAAGCAGTAAATCGTCCTTGCTAACCAGACGCTTCCTCTGTAGCTAAATGTCATAGCGCATATGACGGTTCCGTGTGTGATACAGATTCGATTCCTCTCGAAGGACATAAATTTTCTTTGAAATTTCTCGTTTATTTAGGCTAGAAAATGTTGTTAATACTGTTTATTATTATAAAAAATTCTTCAGTAGCTTTTCAACACTAAAAAGTTACATTGTCTTTATTCATATTGACTTTTTGCACATATATTTTAATTTATTACTGAATTCTTAGAGTGATATAAATCATAGTATTTCTGGAAGATTACGTATTCAAGGCTCTCTGTGTAATACATTATTCAGTGTCAAAAGAGATACGGTATTAATAATGTCATAAAATAAAGAAATTCTATGTGATTCTATGAAACTCAATTCAACAGCTAAATAAAAATATTTTTTACACACACACACACACATACATACATATATATATATATGCGTGTGTGTGTGTGCAATTCAGATATAAAAAGAATATATTTGAAAAGGCAATCTTGATAAAAAGAAAAAGCGAGTGTGTCGTAATTGCCTTGATAAATTCCCAGAAGCAATTGAAATGTGTTGGCATAAAATGATTTTTTTTTAATTTATCTTGTCTTTTGTTGTATATATATATATATATATATATATATATATATATATATATATATGTGTGACAAAAACCTTTATCCATAATAGAGTTTCGTCACTTATAATGATTTATCAAGGCAAAAGTTCCTCAGGGGACGAAACACGTTGATAAACCCTTTGTCGTTCACTTATATTGTCTTTATAGATAAATTTAATTTGAATTCTGACATAAATACGAACACATCTACCCACACATATTTGTCTGATATTGAGCAATTTAATCTATAAATATAGCATACCTTATAACTATATTTTCATTATATATATATATATATCTATATATAGCCATCCACAAACAGACTGTTTCGCTGTATCACAGCTCATCAGTGTGGCTAGACGTCCGATTGCCTCTAACTAGGATCGAAACACGACTGAATTGGCGACAGTCGAGAGGAATGAAGGTGAATTTAATCGTATTTATTTTTAGATAAATACACAGAGAATGAGAGAATCGATTCGAATTACCAAAGCGTCTTGCATTATTAGTCATAATAGTCACTGTTCACAAACCCACACTTCCTCCCCATTGTGGCTAGACGTCCGGTTGTCTCTAACTAGGATCGAAACCCGACCTAATTGGCATCAGCCGGAGATTTTACCACTAAGCCGTTGTGATATGTGACTGACCACAAGTAAAACTATCATGCGTTCTCAAGCAACGATCAGCCGGCCGGTAACAATTATTTTGGAAATTGGTCATTTTATACTAATTTGATACGTTCAAAGGTGGTTGATGCGTACGTACCTTGCATACATCAATTAAACTCACTTAGTATGAGAGAATGTCTATCCAAACAAGATAGAAATGCCATAAAATCACCTATAAAATACCAGAACATTTCACAGGTGGAGCGTGGAAGTGCTCGATATCATGGGGAACATTAGGACCTCAGTAAAGCAGCATATAGCTAAAAGCAAAATAGTGTTTTAAATTGCCGAGTCTCTCAAAGTCTCCCAAGACAGAGCATATAATATGAATAAATAATAATATACCCCTAACTTTAGCAGACTTCATCAAGAGTTGTTTACTATACATATATACATATATATATATATATATATATGTGTGTGTGTGTGTGTGTGTATATGTTTTTTGTATGAATGATTCATGTAATGTAAATTGAACTTTACCACATACTTGATATATATATCTATATATATCAAGTATGTGGTGCAGTTTAATTTACATTACACGAATCATTCATACAAAAAATCAGATATATATATATATATATATATCAAGTATGTGGTGCAGACATTGATATAAATGGCGAGAATCCATCATCGCAAACAAATTTAATAAATTACAATATTAAATAAATTTAATAAATTACAATAACCCTGAACCTGTAG